AAGAAAGAGAGAGATTCATTCCATACGTTTTGTAACTCTAGAAAACTCTGACTAATACAATGTGTATATGTCTTCCATGTTTCCCAGGTTTTTGGAACATAAAATTTAAATTTTCATGTTATTCTCTAATGATTTCTTGGGTTTCACTGGAGTCTGTTATAGCAATTCCATTTTCATCCCTAATTTTGTTTATTTGGGTCTCCTCTCTCTTTCCACTGGTTTGGCTAGGGGTTTGTCAATCATCCTAATCTATTCAAAGAACTAACTCTCCCACTGATTCTGTGTATTGTCCTTTCAGTTTCTATTTCATTCATTTCAGCATGGATCTTTATGATTCCTTGCCCTCTACTGGCTTTGGGTTTGGCTTCCTGTTTTTTGTTTAGTTCTCTGATTCTTTAATGTGAGCACTTATAGCTATCAATCCTCCCCTCAGAACTGCTTTGGCTGCCACCCAGAGGATCTGGTGAACCATGCTACCATTGTCATTTGGTTCTAGGAAGTTTTAATTTCTTCTCTGATTTCTTCAAGGACCTACTGCTAATTCACAAGTATATTGTACAGGCTTCATTAATTTGTGTAGATTTTGAGAATTATCTTGTTGAGTCCTAGTTTTAGTCCATTGTCATCTGATAAGGCACAGAGGATTATTTAAAAATTTCTTTTTATATTTTGTTTGTTTGTTTTTGAGACAGGATTTCTCTGATTAGTCCTGGCTATCCTGGAATTTGCCTAAATCTCTTTACTTTGTCTTTATTCTATGACTCCTTCCTTTACTCTATGACTTCTTAGTTTAGTCTCTTGAACATGTCCTAGAGTTCTTGGAAGTTTTTATAATGCTCATTAATTTTTTCTTAAATGTATAGATGTCTGAATGCATAATTGTCTCAACCTTGTCCTCCATCTCTGGAATTCATTCTTGGTCTTCAGCTTGTGTCTTCACAGTGCTGTCCATTGTGCTTTTTAATTGGTAGGTTATTTTCTTTCTGGAACTTCTGTTTGACTCGTTTTGGAATCTCAATTTCCTTGACATTTTCCCCTTTATACTTTGAGTTTTTCTCTGTATTATTGACAGTCCCACTCACTTTTAATGTGTTTGTCTGGGACCTGCATCCATGTCCTCCTTGCCTGTATCTTATTCCAGTCCTTTATACCGTCATCGGTCTTCGGTAAAAGCTGAACTCGGACATCTTTTCCTGACATCTTGGCTACCCCATTACCTGTTTTCTCGCACTGAGAAGTCATGAGCTTGTCAAGGTCTCGCAGTGGATTGCTGTCCGTGGTTTTTGTGTCCCTCTGTTGTGTTTCACACAGGTGCAGGGATGGATGTGTCCTCCAGTTTTGTCCCCGCCATCCCCACTGTTTTTGTTTGATTTATTTTATGTGAGTCCTCCTGGGAAGTTGGGTCGGCTTAGATTTATTATTGGGGATCCAACTGCAAGAACAAATGTAACGCTCTGACAGCATTACTAGTGTTGACTACTGGGCACTACTGGTTGGGGAAATTACAGTATATTGTTTTTATAGGGCTAACGGTATCAGTAAGTAAAATGAGTAGAACTCAGGGAAGGGAGGGAGAAGAGGCAAAGTCAGAATAAGAAGGACAGTGTATATAACTCAGGAATTCCAGAGTACACAGAAAATATTCAATATTATTGTAGAGAAAGGACAGGCTTAAGAGCCGTTTCCAGCCACAGACAAGTTAAAACACAGCAATGGGACAATCAAAGTTTAAAAGTGTAAATAATTAAATTAAAATTTAAATTTAAAAACTAGAAAATTACTAAGATGAAGTAAAAAGGAAAAACAAACCTGTGATCCCAGCATTTTTCTGGACCAGGAAGACTTGGTTTCTCTCTCCCTTTGTGGCCTTTTTTTTTTTTTTTTTTTGTCCTTTTAATCAGTTCCCAAAGTGGGGTGGTGCCAGTTAAGTCAGGTAGCCTTCCAGAGAGAGGGATTTTGTGGTTGATGCCTACCCTCGGCCAGAATTCCCTGTCTGATTCCTCCTGGTTACAGATTACAAGCCTGACTCCAGTCCTTGTGGGGGTGGGGGTCAGCTGGTCTCTCTGGGTGTCCTGTGACTGAAGTTGTGAGTGGGTGTTGAGGACTTGCCTACCTGTGTTTACCATTTCTGAGTCCATCATGATACTGAATTAAGGTGGGCAACAAGCTTTCTGCCAAATCATATAGCTCATCACAGCCTGGGGGTGTGGGGCAGAGTAGGGCATTGGGGGTCTTTCAGGTTCAGACTCCGTTACCACGCTTGCCCTGTATCTCCCTAGCCTGTGTGACTTGGGGTCCGTTCCAAGTTCCGGCCACACAGCCTGTGCTTCATCTCTTGTTCATCTGGGAAAGGGCGGGGATGAGTAAGGTGTTGCAAAGCTCTGACTTTCACTACCTTTCTGGGGCTCTGACTGCACTCTGCTGTGTGTGCGCCACTTGCTTTTCCCAGCTGAATTCAGGCACCAGATTTAGGTTCCAGCAGCAGCAGGGACCATCTCTCTGGCTCTAATGCCTGGAGTGGGGTGCACACCCACGCTTCCCGGCAGGAAGAACTCACCCTGAGAAATTTGGTGTCACTGGGGGCACCTGCTGACTTCACCGCGGCTTCTGTTTTCTGTAGCTCTTTCTCTTGATTTCTGCGGGTCTCCAAGGTGCAGTTTCTCATCCGCCCTCTTGCTCTGCAGCGCTCTCGACGTTTCTGAGATCTCTATGTTTTTAGAGTTGAATTTACCAGTCCCTTTTTCTGAGATACCTAAATAAGCACGGTTATTGAAATCCCCATCACTCCAAGGTTAGGATTCTTCAGTGTGTTTAGCTAGAGCTCTCATAGTTTGAGTTTCTCTATTAAGTAATTGTCGTTTAGAAGCAGTCCTACCGTTTGCATTAGCTCGTGTGTCCATGTCGCTGAGGTTCCAGTTTGCCCAGTAGTGTATGCGGACTCATCTCACCACTGACTGGGATATTATCATATGCTGACTTCAGATATTTTTTAGGGACTTTCTATTCCATTTCATAAGTCTGCTCATACATTCTTAGCATACTGTTTTCATAACAGAAATTTCAAGAAAATTGTTTCAAGTACCGTAATTTTTACTGTATCATTTTCTTGGCCACCACTGTTCTTTTTTTTAGCTATTTCCAGGTTATCAGATTTATTTATCAAAGGAACTTAAGACTGACATTATCCAATTTCTTATAAAATAGGTTACTGTTTTTCTTAAGATTTATTTATTTATTATATATAGTGTTCTGCCTGTATGTATGCCTGCAGGCCAGAAGAGGGCACCAGATTTTATTACAGATGGTTGTGAGCCACACGTATGGTTGCTGGGAATTGAACTTAGGACCTTTGGAAGAGCAGCCAGTGCTCTTAACCACTGAGCCATCTCTCTAGCCCCTTGTTTTTGTTTTTGTTTTTTTTTTTTATATCAAGATTACATTTAAATTAACTTACAGAACCACCCCTTTGCCATAGTGTGTGTCTCCATTTTTAAAGTCTTTTAGCTCTTTTAAAGTATTGCATTAATTTTTGAAAAGCCCTATGGCTTCTACATATTCTTATGAATGTCTGTGTTGGTTGCTATAGTCACATGATTGTCTCTTAGGTGATGGGACATATGAAGTGTGTATGAAAGTTACTGTTGCCACTGCATTTTTACCCTCATGCTCTGAGATCTGTTTTTGATTGTGGAATCCTGGTAGTCAGTTCTTTTCCCTGGGCATATGGTCATCACATCCCTGACTAGTGATCCCATTCCCTCTATCCTTAGAGTTATGTTCTCTTTCTTTTTCTACCATGTCTTGGTTAGAACTTGTAGTTCAATTTCAAGTTACATTTCTGATTTTATATGGAAGATTTAGGGTCTCTCACTAAGAATACCACTAATTTTGGGAGTGATGACTGATGACAGACCTTATCCAACAATATTTAACTTTAAATTTTTTTAAAGAAGTAAGTTTAGAATTTCATTTTTGTTTTAAATTTGGAATTTTCCTTGCTGGTATTATTTAGCACCTTTTGTGGTTATAGAATAAAACAAGGGACTTTGTCCATCATCATGTAAATATGACTTGTGATATGTACATGTATCTGAATCTTGTATTTACACTGCATAAAATTCCTGCTATGCCATATGCATCTAGCTCATCATTTTAATGGCTGCATAATATTCCATTGTTTTCTTATAGTTCATTGGTTTATCTATTTCCCTATGACTGACATCCACTTTTTCCTTTTATGTGCCCAACTATAAACAAATTTTCAGTAATCGTCCATAAAAGTATAGTTTTATATGATTTGTCCTTTTATTTCCAAAAGCTGCATTCTCAGGGAAGGGAATGCTGAGTCAAAGGTTTTACATAATTCTATTTTAATAGCCTCCTCGCTATAGTGTTCAGTCTCAGAGCTTGAGCTGCAACTCATGAGGGCTCTTTGACTCAAGCTAGGTAAGCCAAAGCAGTGCTCAAATCACAACCCTAAGTGAAGCAGATCATACAAGCAGAGGTTTCAGAGCAAGACTGTGTCACGCCTCACCTCATGGACCAAGACAGGCATGCAAGGGTCTTTATCACACGGCAGTGCTGAGTCCCTGGGGCTTTGGCATTCAAGTAGATTGTCGTCTCTGTAGACTCAAAGAAGCTCTTTTGTCATTCTGTGAATCTATGTGTCCATCTTGGAGATGGTAATGAAACAGTGTCCATTTCACACAGGCCAAGTCCAGAACGATGGTAGCCCAAGTCAATGCGTCTGGAACAATGTATATGAACTTCCTTGAAACTTCTATTTGACATTATCAAGCTGCTATGGTTTGGACATAAAATGACCCCAAAAGCTAATGTGCTGAAGGCTTGGCCCACAGCTGGTGGCACTGTTGGAAGGCAATGGGACCATGGAGGCTTGTGCTTCATCATTAATGCATGGATGAATTCCTAGCTGATGCATCGATTGTAAGGAGGTGGGAGCTGGTTGGGGGAAAGCAAGACATTGGATGCACGGGTCTTTGAAGGATTGAACTGGTCCCCTGAGCCGCCTTCTTCTTCTTCTTGTTCTTGTTCTTCTTGTTCTTGTTCTTCTTGTTCTTGTTCTTCTTGTTCTTCTTGTTCTTGTTCTTGTTCTTCTTGTTCTTGTTCTTCTTGTTCTTGTTCTTGTTCTTCTTCTTCTTGTTCTTCTTCTTCTTGTTCTTCTTCTTCTTCTTCTTCTTCTTCTTCTTCTTCTTCTTCTTCTTCTTCTTCTTCTTCTTCTTCTTCTTCTTCTTCTTCGCCACACAAACAGGATAAACAGCCTCCCCTGCCACCACTCCCACTGCCATGATGATCTGCTTTTTTCAGAGGCCCATTAGCAATGGAGCCAGCCAACCTGAACTCCAGAAACCATTGGCCAAAATCAAGCTTCTCTCTTTTACATTGCTTTGCTCAGGTCCCTTGTTACAGTGGTGAAAATGACTGACCAGAGAAGTAACACAAACTTTGTCTGGGTGTTTCAAAGTTGTCCGGGCTGACAAGACACGTGGAACAGCAAGTCCAAGGTTGCTTGGCACATGGACCCCCAGACAGGGAAAGACTCTTTAGAGCTGTGGTGAGGTTAAGAACCACACAGTTCATTCAGGGCAGCCTCTGCCAGTTCATGCTTCATGACTCACAGCTCCTAGCTCTCTGGAGACGCTTGCAATTCCATTGGATCCCCATAAATGACCAGGATCACATCCTCAGCTCAATGCCTGTGCCCTTAATTGCATCTGTTAAGCCCCTTTGCCACTGAGCTTTGCGGGTGCTGGGAACTGGGATACAGGCATCTCTGGAGAGAGCCAGTTCTTTTTCTATGTTCCATGGCTGTCCACAAAGGCTTGTTCTTGCACTGAAGGACTCCTGTGTAGCATTCTTGTCCTTTTTCTGCTTCCTTGAGAAGTTCCTTCTTGCCCTGCTCACAGATGCAGTGTCCTCCATGGAGGACAGGCAGACTGTATGGTCCATCCATATGGGAGCTTTAACTGGTCAGACCAGGCATGTTGAATCTTTTGAGGGAGAGCCCGCTCTGTAACTGAAGGAGTGGCAATGTGGTTAGCTGAGTCTGCATACCGCTTCCTGCAGGGCTCTCTCTAAGCTGCACCCGATGGCTCTTCAGAGGCTGGACCTGTGTTTTGTCCTACTCCGTTCCTCTCTTTCTCTGTGCTCACTTGCCTCTGATCTCTATTCTCACGTGGACCTTGGTATCAGATCTTGATATTATGGCTTCTCTAGAAACACACCACAACTGGGTGCCTTAAAGCGCAGAATTTTTGTTCTGTCAGTTTTGGAGGATGGATGTCAACAGTTAGTGCATGGGTAGATTCACTAGGCATGCAGTCTGTTCTTAGTTTATAGGCCATCACTTCCTCCTGTGTCTTCC